TTTGCTGACCTTCCCAGAAAATTAAGGCTTTAGTTCCCAAGAGGAGGTAACAGTAGAATGTTCAGATGATGGGGTTTCATGCTGTTCTATAGTGGCTTTTGTTGCATCAGGAGGGAGGGCTTCTCTGGATCAGTGTTTCTGAATAGCAGCTCTATTGACATTTTGGATTGAAGAATTTTTGTTGTTGCATGCAAGTTTATTTATTGCCAAATGTGTAGAAACATTCCTGGTCTTTAATCATTGGATACTAGCACCATCCCCCCAGGTATGGCAATCAAAAATGTTTCCAGACTTTGCCAAAAATCCTCTTGGAAGTATAGCTGCTCCCCATTAAGAACCAGTTGTCTGAATTCTTGTCTTGCTCCCAGTCTTTCTTCTGAGAACCTTGTAGTTCCATGGAGAAGAGCCTAGGAGTAGTTATGAAATTCCTTTGTGCATGAAGATCTCCACAAGTTCCATGTTCTCACATGAGGCTACATTCAGACTTTAGAAATTTGCTAATAATTTTTATCTGAACTCTTTTCACTGGCTTATAAGGAGTCTCATATTTGCTCCAGTAAGCGAATGCTTGCATACAGCCACTTCTTGGAGGCACCTGTTTTGAACCTGGATTTTAGGTTAGTTGATTACACTGTGACTTCAGCTCTCTGTTGTGCTTAATAAAAGTTGTGAATTTGTAGATATTCAGGATATTTTTGCTTTATGTTTTGGAATGACCCCCTTTACAACTTTCTATATTTTAAGTGGAAGCTGGAAGCCTGACATATATAATTTTTAATCTTCTCAACTATCATGCAGAGGAATTGGAAACTCTTGTGGGTTAAACAACTGCTCCATGTGCAAGAGATCTGAACCAAAGGCTTTCTAGATGTAAACACAAGTTCATTTCACACTGCTATGCTGACTGTTTATGTAGAGCGATAGTGTGTTATGTTTAACTAGTGACTTTCCAAATTAAATCTTGAATTCCTTTTTAAAATTTATCCTCTAATACAGATTTTGATTCTAGTGCAGAAAACTATTAGGCAAGGTGTTATTGTGGGTGTCAGATGTACTCTCATATCTTTCCCAGAGGTTTCATACTCAAATGCCTATTGGGACCAGGCAAGAGATACAAATGAGTGAAGTGTACTATGTCTGTGTTCACACTTATTTTTCTTGACTCTTATAGCCCTACTTTTGACAGTGGAATGGGTACAGGGAAATATTTCCTTATCAGAAAAAGAGTAGTACAAATAAATATCTGGGAACTCTCTCTGCCTGAGGACTAGCAAAACTTATTTGATGTGCACTGATTTTTTAAAATTCTCATCTTAGGAAATGTTTATTGACTTTTAGAGAAAAAGGAAGGGTGAGTGAGAGAACCATTGATGTGAGAGAAACACTGATTGGTTGTCTCTTGTGTGCACCTTGACTGGGGATTGAATCTGAACCCTTGGTGTGTACCCTGACTGGGGATCGAACACACAACATTTTGGTGTATGGGACAATGCCCCAACCAACTGATTGTCCCAGATAGGGCTGATGTGTGTGTGTGTGTGTGTGTGTGTGTGTGTGTGTGTGTGTGTATTTAAATTGAGTCAGCATTGTAAGAGTTCCTGGGTACTCCCTATTGTCCTACAGCACCTATTAAAGTTACCTGTCTGCACATGAGATTATTTCATTCAACACTAAATATTCATTAAGCACTTGAAATTTGCTAGGCTCCATTCTAGGTTCTGAGGATGCAGCAATGACGCCTTAAAGAAGTCCTGTCCTTATGGAGCTTACATTTCAGTTTGGTCTGCCACAGCAGGCGTGAAAGGTGGCCTTGGGGCACAATGCCAAGAGAATGTACTGCTACCACTCACCTCCAGCCCACTGTTGCTAACCGTGGATGTTGACCTTATGTTGCCAAACTTAAGAGCTCTCCAAGAGAAGCCAGAAGTAGTAATTTTACTGTAATTTCCTTAAATATTGGCTCGTCATATTTTGAATCACTGTGGAGGTTAAATAAAACATGTTTGCAGGCAGAATCTGGCTTGTGATCTCTTCCTAACACATTTTTGACCTTGCTCATTTGCTTGAGAAGAAAAATGCAATGGAATGTCAGCTGCAGCCATGTTAGTTCTCTTCTTTGGAAGCAATGAACCCATTGTCAGAGATTTGGCAATTCCAGAATTTAATTTGCAATAAAAGGTCAGCAATTTAAGTGAAATCGCTTTAAATCAACTTTAAAATAAGCAAGTCAAAGCAAGGAACTGTACAAATACGTGGGTGATTATTAACCTGGGTTCAACAGAATGTGATCAACAGGTTATCTGAAAGCAAGTTATATTGTAATTATCAACCTGCTTGCAAGTTTGAGACCAGCTTTTAAAATAGAATTCCTATCGTAGACCACTTTCATTTCTATAAGCATGCTACCTTGTGGTCCAAATTATCAGCCAAGGTCAGAACTTTGTAGTGGCGCCATTAGTTCATTACATTCAATGTTCCTGAAAAGCTCAAACCAAGGTATTTGGTACATTTATAGCATTTGTAACTTTTATTTTCCTTTTCTTTTGAAAAGAAAGCTATTTTAGATTTTCTTGACAATGTAGGACACACAGGTAGTTAATCAAATGCATCTGTTCTCTGGCTCCATATTTTGCTGGTCACACAAGTGATAGGCGTTTTTAGGTGGTGGTTTTCGGTAGGTGTTTTTAGCCGTTCATTAATCTCTAACTTATTGAAATGATTATTTGCTGATTCTCATTGTTTCATGAGCCTGTCAGTTTCATTTTCAGCATCGTTTTGTGCTCATTTCCTTCCATCTACCTTTTCCTATTTAAATTCTATCCCTGCACCTTCTCCAAAGTTCACTCTCTTGCCCATGTGTTACTTCTCACTGATTTGGTGTATCTAGCCTCTGGAACTTGCCTTACTCCTATTTTCTCTACTAACTACAGCTCATAACAGGTTTTTTTTTATTTTTAAGTTTTTTTTAACATTTTAACAAATCTTCCCATTTTTGAGGTCTTTGAATTAAATTCCCAAGAATTGCAATGGGGACAGATTCATATATCAACATTTAGATCAGAGAGGACACTTTGCCTACATCTTTTATGCTCTACAGTTAGGTCATGTATTTCCTGATCTTTCTCCAGCTCAAGATGGGTCAATTTTATTAACTCACCTCTGTTCTGCAGGTTGTATCTCAATTGTAAGGGATCTGACTATAAACCCCAAATTCCAGCTCATAGAAACTTAGTTATTGAGATCCTTGCAAATAATAACTGATCTCAGCTCCCAGAGATTCCCAAGCAGGCAGGGTCCCTAGGCCACACCTTTTGATCATGAGACCGGTGAGCATATGGTTTTACTTCTCTTCTAGTGAGAGCTGCTTTTCAAATGATGTACTACTTGGTTCTAGCAAACCACTTTTTTGATTCAACTATATATTTTATATGAGATAATAAAGGGATTTGGGCATTATTTCACAATTGTACTGAGTATTATTACAGTCTGAATATTTATGCAGGAAGATACTTAAAATGCAACCTTCTGTGAAGGGAGAGAAGTAGTCTGCTTTATTGAAAGTTTCCTGAGCATTATATTATTTTAATAGAAACACCCTGTGTATTTTGGCTTGTACAATTGAATATATGCCTACAAAATAAAGTTATGATGACAATAACATGAGCAACTTTACAAATTGCAAATGTCTTAAAGACAGATATTAACTATTAGATTAATACCAAATTCAAAGAAACAAAATAAAGCAGATTTTCACTCCACAAAATTCCCAGAAATATATACCTTTTGAATTAACCATCAGTCACAGGCCATGGGAAAAACAAGCAAGTCAAATTTCAGTTTCTGTTAATTCTGTTAAGATTTTCTCATTTGATGTTGAGTTTTTCTATTTTAAATAATCTTTCGTGTATTTCCCTTATTTTAGGAAGTAACCATTGTAGTTTTGAATATTCTATATTATCTTACAAAAAATTAAGTGTTTTAAAATTAACAGTAGAAGGACTAAATTATTTCATCTGTTGACATTGATAGATAGCCATATCAGGGGTCATGTGCACTTTATGAAGTTACTTTTAAGAACTATGATTGATAACTCTGGATTTTTAAAAAAATGTATCACATGTATCATTCATGTATGATGTACTTTTTCTTACTGCCAAATACTGATAACCACTTCAAAAGGGCAAATTCCAATTTAAAAATTAAAAGCTCCTCTGGTGTATGCTTATATTTAATAAATACTAGTATTTTCACTTTTTAAAACTTCCCCATTTTTTATAATCATTTGCCCCCAGAGTATATTCTAGTGTAGTATTTTTATCAATTGAAATAATATCAAATGAAGTAGGTTGCAGATAGAACTTGACATTTTATTGCATGACTCTAAGGAGTTTTAAGAGTTCTAAAAATACGTTTTATTTTATTAAAATATGTGTATTCCCTATCTTTTCTGGATAAAATTTTCAGCATTTAATTTGCTTGGTCCTTAAGCACATATGTTTACCATTGACTGTATCAGACAGTGTCTATTTGTGACTGCTGCAAACTGGATCCTAATTTTTAAAAAGATACATATAGTACAGCTACCTAAAACATGCAAGAACAAGTGGTTCATCATAACTTTAATGTAGTCTAATTGGTCACCTTTTTGGCATAAAAACAGAAATTTTAGGCTATCAAGATCAAGCCTAAATTTTTCCTAGAGATTGTCTTTTAAAAGCATTTTGTGAATATTCACTGACTCTCAGTTTATTTGGTATCTGGCTAAACAAGCAAGAACAACAATAATAAAAACAAGATACTGAATCAAATCCTGTTCACTCTGTGTTTAGATTTTTGGGGAACCATTAAATAGCATCATAGCAACTAGCTCTTCAACCCCAAACTGCTTAATATATCTTATGTTTGCACCAATTTATTCTGGTTTTCAAGTATTATTTTTTTCTTTTTTAGAGGAACTTGATTTAAATCCGTGCATAGCCAAAGGGCAAGGAGCTGAGAACATGGATCGAGAGGTAAGATTGATATAACAGTAGCCCTCTCGTTGACTTTTTCACTTTAAAAGCAGCCTTTTAAGCTTTATTTTTCATAATGTTATCCATGGAGGGAAAGTATAAAAGTGAGTAGAAATTTAGCCTCTTTTGTAGCACTCATGGGTAAAGAGGATGATTAACGAGTGTAGCAGACAATGTCATAGCGAAAGAGAGTCCATAGAACTTAAACAAAAGTGCCTTCAGAATTTCCAAGGATTCCCATGATCCATAGTAGGACCTCATTGTGCCTGTCCACTGTTTCTATTTTGGAGTAGATTTATAAACACAGCACCACATATTTTCACGTGGCTTATTGCCCAGGGGCAGAGTTAGATTGACTGCACTGAAACTGTGAGGCTTGTGAGTTTTGGGCAAGGGCTAGAGTGAAATAAGTAGTGTGATTGTTTTTGTGGAGTGACCGTGGGACCTCCTCTGTTCTGAATTACACATGGTTCAACCCTTTGACCTATCCAGACTCAGCAATGGCTGGCAGGACTCCAAAGCCATGCTGAAAGGGTCCATCACTGACAAACTGGAACGTTATCTGTCAGGCGAGATTCGAGCCAACAACCATATTAACTATAGTAATTACTAGTGGGACCACATTGTGACCACCTCAACGTCATTTAACCCATCATCATATCATTATTATTTCAGCAGGAAGTGCCAGTGTGAGAAATTTTTGGAAGCCAAATGTAGTATGGATACCTTTGATTAACAGATAGTTCACTAAATTTTGAATCGTCTTCAAAGACATGTTGCCAAATTATCCAAACATTATTAGTATGATTTTTTTAAAAAATGTATAAGGTTGGAGAAATGCTATAAGCTATAATTAAAGTTTTTCATCTCAATGAGTTTAACTTAAATTCTTTAAAAATAGATAATAACTCACTAATATAGCTCTTCAAAGGAATTAAAGCTAAGGATATGCATAGAAATTCTAGTAAATGTTGCAGAGAATCATATGTGCTGATAATTTTTGCATTTATGGAGAATTTATTCTGTGATTCACATGATGATGAGCTTAATAAATGTACCTACATCTATGAGTACATTTGAAGTCATTTACTTGAAATTTTATTATTGATTCAGGTAATTCAATTTTCAAAGGCACTTATAAGCGGAAAACTTTGGTTTACTTTACTTTCAAGCACTTGACATTATTTCCAAAACTAAAAAAAAGCTCCCAAAACTTTTTATCTATATATTTTTTGGCCAATTTTACAAATTGAATGTTTCTATAGGTATTTCATACTTACAACAACTGGGAATAATTTAGGATTTACATTTTTCTTTCTCATCTGAGGCAAATGAAGCTTAATTCAATTCCTAGTTATATGACATTTAAAAATTTCTTTAAGAAATGAACAACTTTAAGCACATTTTTTAGAAATTATATGCTTTAACTGTAAGTAGTCTAAAAATGAGCATAGGGAGGTCCCTATGGGATCACATACAAAAGAAAAAAATACACTATAATAATAAAGCCCCTCAACAAAACTGCATTCAGCCCTACCCAGTCTTATGCTCATTAGCAGTAAAGAGTTTGCTCTCCATGTAATCTAACATGGAATGCTTACAGCCTACAGGTGCAAATTGCAAGCTGTTTCACTTTGTCTGTTATCCCCTAAATCGACAAAGTAATAGACTCAGAGAACAAAAAGTTTCCAGCTTAAGCTGCATGGATGCAGTCTTAACAGAGACACACCAGCTGGCTAGGAGAGTTCAATGCAGCAAATACTAAATATTATCTTTACATCACTTGTCAAGGAAAATGGCTTCAATAATGCCCCCTTTTCATTATTGAGATGATGTTCCTTCAGCATCCTTTGGCTTTATCATAAAGGTGACACTATCCACTACGGCGGAAGTGGATGGCAACAGAAGCCAACATACCTGTTCCTGTTTTGCATCATTACACTCTTTCCAGCAATTCAGGCATGATTAGGTTCCTGGAGGTGGACCAGATTGATAGCATTTCTATCCATGTTCTGTGTGTGTATGTGTGGCTGATCCAGACAAAGCCCCAGAGCAGCGAAACAACAAAAACAATCACCGCCATCCACTCCTCGCCAATGTGATGAATCTGCTGAATTTGTCTGTGGAAAACCAAAACAACAAAACAAACAAACAAACAAACAAACAAACAAACAAACAGTTGTTAATACTAAGAACACCTGCCTTTATTTTGTGTAAGAGACATGCCATGCCAATATGTGTAGGAATGTAAGGTGTGTGCTTCTGAAAGGGACCCTAAGTCTATCATTCCAAAGTTGCTTCTCTTTGTGCCTTCCCAGTTTGCCCTGGAACTGCTGTCTGGAAGAAATAAATAACTTTAACTTGAGGTCTGAGGCCACTGACTAGCTCCGACTGTGTGATCTTCCTATGTGTGCTAGGGGAGGGAGACAACTCCTTGTTTATAGCCAGACAGAAGAAAACAGCTAGACACAAATGAGGGCTGACGGTTTCGTGAAGCACAATTGGTTGATCCCAGATGCAATCTGACTGCCCTGAACTGAGCGATGATCTGTGCAGTATGCAGAACTCACTTTCTTGCTGGTCTGTACCCACTGGCTCAGAGCAGCACTGCCCGCTCCCCCAAGGCCATGGCTCTGAGTGCAACCAGAGCTGAACACTGTGCTGTGGGGCCCAATTCCTTCTGACAACAATCACATTCTTTTAAAAACTTCATAGGTTTTGGTTGTCATTGGTTATAAATAAATTCGCAGTTGTTTCTGTTTGCTACTCTATCATAAATTTCTTTTCAAGCTGAGGGTGTACGGATCAAAAGATATTTGTTGTTTTTTAATGAAAGGAAAATATCAAAAAGTGTTGGTTTTTACAAACTTCATGCAGTTTTTTTCTCTGTATAATCACAAAGTGCTTACTTGTTTTCATCCACACTATGTATTATAGTTACATTTAATAGGATAACTTTACCAAAATAAAAAAAAGATCTGAGTTTTCACTATTTAAGCACACATATAGAAGAAATATGTTACTAGAAACTGTTCACTTAGATTTTAGAGTTAGATTATATTATATCAATTGAAGAGCAATGTGAAGTAAAGAATCCATGGGGTATATCCACAGTAGTTTTAGTTTAGATTTCTAAATGGTTTGCTTCCCTTCAGAACCGAGTTATATCAGTGAGAAGCAGGAGATACTGCTGACTAAAATTTGTTTCTTATTAAAATTTTGAAGTACAATATAATTATTTAATAAGTGAATGTGAATGTATTAAAAGTAATAATATTACCCAAACACACTAACTTAAGTGGAAATGAATGAAGGAATTGATATAAAAAATAAGTGAAGTATTATTTTGCATGAGCTAAAGAGATAAAATCCCATCAGGAAAGAGAGAATCTAAATTGGGGAGGAGGGGAGGAAAATGCAATTTATCCACTTAAAGGTGCTCATGTGTAAAGGGGAGAAAAGAGGGAGGAAATTGACAAAAGAGAGAAATCAGAAATCACTCCCAATATACTGTTGAATGTGTGTTGGTACTAAACAGGTCACAAAATACAAACCATCACTTGGTAATCCTCTCAAAGTATTTATCTATGGTACACACAATCAGGCTTTGCTTTTCTTTTAAATATGTGAACTTGTGAAAATATCTTTGAGACTTTTTTAACATTAGAGA